TAATTAACTTAATCCTTATTTTTAAAGGAAACTTTAAAGAATATATTAGAACTCTAATTTTCTCTTTGCTGAAAACTGGTCATTAGGAATAGAGACAATGTCACACAACAATTGAAACACAGGATTTTTGTTGTTGTTGTTTTCTGAGGTAGGCTCTTGCTCTGTTGCCTAGGCTGGAGTACAGTGGTGCGATTACAGTTCACTGTAACCTCTGCCTCTCAGGTTCAAGCGATTCTCATGCCTCCGCCGAGAAGCTGGGATTACAAGCGTGTACCACGCCTAATTTTTGTTTTTAGTAGACACATGGTTTCACCACGTTGGCCAGGCTAGTCTCAAATTCCTGAGCTCAAGGGATCTGCCCACCTCAGCCTCCCAGAGTGCCGAGATTACAGGAATGAGCCACCACACCCAGCAGAATTTTTTTTTAAAAAAGGAAGGTCCATCTTGTCTAGCACTACTTGTCACAAGCATATATGCACTTCACTAAACACTTGGCTGCTTTTATTACATATTATCATATAGATTAAGAAGTATATTTGCCTTGAATGCAAAACAGGTTTTCACCTATTATTCCAATTATGACTGATGGGCTGCCCACAGTGCTGTGCTCACAAAAGCATTGCGAGGCTGAACCCAGACTCATCTGGACTGTTAGGAACAATCAGCAATGTCTTCTATGAGCAAGAAGGAGGAAAACGGAGAGTGTGTGCTGTGTATCTGACCTTAATATCTTGCATTTTCTCTGATAAACTGAATCCTATGTGCATAGGGAAGCCCCCCCAAAAGAAGTTGAATTTAACTAATTTAACATTAAAGTCAATAAATAGCTAATCAATTAGGAGACAGGCCTACAATCAACACTGTTCAGGGAATCTATCCAGTCCATGGGCTATTCCTTTTCTGAGAAATGTACTCTCATCCAAGAGGCTGGGACTCCTCTCTCCTAGCTACAAACAACTGATCCGTGAGTAGAGTCTAATCCAACATGGAATAATGAAGTTTCTCTCTACTGGGAATTTAAAAATCAAGAATCATGAACAGCCAGTATAGTTTTTACATACCTGGAACTATGACATGCAAATACTGCTTGGTCTGCGTGGAGATAAATGAAGAAAATCTACAGAGTCAGAGAAACTAGGAAAATAAGAAGAATGCTTTCTGGATTCCTGACAACTTTCCTGTTTCTTACATTCCCCAGTAATATCTCCCTGCGCCTTAAGATTTCTTTTTTAGACAGAGTTTCACTCTATCATCCAGGCTGGAGTGCAGTGGCACAATCTTGGCTCACTACAACCTCCACCTCCCAGGTTCAGGCGATTCTCCTGCCTCAGCCTCCCAAGTAGCTAGGATTACTGGCACATGCGCTACCATGCCTGGCTAACTTTTGTTATTTTTGGTAGAGACAGGGTTTCATGATGTTGCCCAGGCTGGTCTTGAACTCCTGACCTCAGATGATCCACCTGCCTTGGCCTCCCAAAGTGTTGGGATTACAGGCATGAGCCACCACGTCTGGCCACAATTCATTTTTATTTAAGACAGTTTAAATTATTTTATTTATAGCCAAAGGGCATTAACTATGGCTGTAAAAGGATAAAGGCAAATATCTTACAGAAGAAAAAATATCTAGAACATTTATTTTAAAAATTATTTATAAACTGTACTTTTAAGTTGTAGTAGAAATTACTTCCTTAGTTTTTGAGACAGTCTCACTCTGTCCCCCAGGCTAACGTGGTGCAATAGCGCCATCTCAGCTCACTGCAACCTCCACCTTCTAGATTCAAGCAATTTTTCTGTCTTAGTCTCCCAAGTACCTGGGACTACAGGCATGCACCACCATGCCTGGCTAATTTTTGTATTTTAATAGAGACAGGGTTTCACCATGTTGGCCAGGCTAGTCTCGAACTCCTGACCTCAGATGATCCACCCCGCCTTGGCCTCCCAATACTTCTTTAGTTTTGTATCCTCTTCTTGAAAACAATATATGATATACAGAAAGAAACCTTACCTTTGTTTCTTCTGTCCTCACTGCATCCAGAAGATAATGAAGAAGCTCCTGACTGTCCTGTTGCTGGAAATCTTTAAATCGAGGTGCCCTGTGGTTTAAAAACAAAAGAGGAAAGAAAAAAAAGAATAATCATTCCATGGTTCATCAACACTCTTCTCTAAATGCACTTGAAATAGCAGAGTTATTAGTCAAGTGCGTAGCCCACGCCTGTAATCCCAGCACTTTGGGAGGCTGAGGGGCAGATCACTTGAGCTCAGGAGTTTGAGACCAGCCTAGGCAACAAGGTGAAACCTCCTCTCTACCAAAACACACATGCACACACACAAAATAGCATAGAGTTAAAGAAGCAGTTTACTACTTTTTCAATAAATAGATGAAATGTGATTACTGTTTCAATTAGGGTGTGATTTTAAGTGTGCACTGAGAACAATATGGCTATCATTTATTAAGCAACTACTACATGTGAAGCACAGTATTAGTAGTTTTTCACATGTTAAGGCATAATCCTCCAACAACTTTGTTGGGATGTACTGTTTTCTCCAACTTACACATGAGGGCTCAGAGGTATTGTTTAAATAGTTTGCAAGGTCACACAGCTAGCAAAAAGAACACATGCACACAAAAACAGTATTCAAACCCAAGCCACTGTGATATATTATCTTCCTACCTTAATGAAAAGAAAAGAAATAGAGTGTTTATATTAAAATAAAGGACTATAAATTGATCTGCCTGTGAATATATTTTTTAAGGACTTGACAATTAAATTTCCTCTGTATTTAATTTAATAAAAAGATTAGGTTGGGCACGGTGGCTCACGACTCTAACCTCAGCACTTTGGGAGGCCAAGGCGGGCGGATCACCAGGTCAGGGGATTGAAACCATTCTGGCTAAAAAGGTGAAGCCCCGTCTCCACAAAAATTAGCCAGGTGTGGTGGTGGGCACCTGTAATCCCAGCTACTCAGGAGGCTGAGGCAGGAGAATCACTTGAACCTGGTAGGCAGAGGTTGCAGTGAGCCGAGATAGCGCCACTGTACTCCAGCCTGGGTGCCAACAGAATGAGACTTCGTCTCAAAAAAAAAAAAAAAAAAAAAAAAAAAAAATCAGGTACTATTCATGGAGACACTGACATAGTAAATATTTGGTTGATTTCTGTAACTTTAAAAAATAAACTACAGTAAACTCCAATGCTAAAATGAACATTTTGCCTCAAGTGCAGACAAGTTTTAAATCTAGAAAGTGTTCTGACATAAGATGAAGAAATAATTCTGTCAAAATACAAAATGAGAACATATTATAGAAGACAAATTTACAACTATAGTATTTACAACATATCTTATGTGATATACAAAACAGCACTGTTCAGGCATTTATAATTAATATAAGTTCTATTTTATGCTTGAGAAAACTGAAAAATAAGCTAAGTGCCACTAACATACCTATAGGTCTGCTGACTGAGTACAGTACTTAATTTATTATTTTTATTTTTATGAGACAGAGTCCCGCTCTGTTGCCCAAGCTGGAGTGCAGTGGCACAATCTCAGATCACTGCAACCTCCAACTCTTGAGTTCAAGTGATTCTCCCGCCTCAGCCTCCCAAGTAGCTGGGACTACAGGCACCCGCCACCAAGCCAAGCTAATTTTTGTATTTTTAGTAGAGACAGGGTTTCACCATGTTGGCAGGCTGATCTCGAACTCCTGACCTCAAATGATCCACCCACCTTGGCCTCCCAAAGTGCTGGAATTACAGGCGTGAGCCATCACGACCAGCCAAGTGCAGTACTTTAAGCGTTATTCTTCATTATCTCAGTATAAACACTCATCCTAATAATACAAAGAAAGTGAGTCCCTGACTGCTAAAACATTAACTGGTAGTCAATCTAGCCTGTAAAAGGAAACACCACTCCAGCCACTCTTGCTAAGTAGCAGCACATAGCAACATGTTGACAATACTTTACTACCCTGATGGGGTCCCATCCTGCATGTGGTGAACAGAATCCACCTCCTAGATTAGAGATGAGGATAGAAACCGAGATGGACACATATTCTAATTCTTTTTGGACCTCCATAGCTGGCATCAGGAGAGGCAGAAACTGCAGGACCCTATACTTGTACATTCCAAGGAAGGCCAGTGAAGTAGCAGAAGACTAGGAGAGGGAACAGGAGAACCCTTCAGAGATCTTCACTAGACAAGGGGTAGGTAGGAGGAAGGAGCAGTTTATGGCTTTCAAAGCAGACAACACAGGAACAAAATCATTTCTGAACAAAAAGAAACTGCTTTCACCATGTCTCTGCCTATAGCTGCACCTCAACCAATGCAAAAACTAAAATTTAATAAACTCAGATTTGTTTTTTTCGTGTTTACCTAGGAATGGGCAAAAAAAAAAAAAATCACAGGATGATTTATAGACTATGATGGAAACTATCTGAGCTACCCATATCAAGAGACACTGTCAAACTTAGTAAGGGATAAAAAAAGAAAAATCACCAAACATATGAAAATATTCAGCCTATTCAAACTAAGGAGAACACTAAATACTCCCAGGAAATGTACTTTAGTAAAAGTATTACCGTAAGAGAAGAGAACTTTTAAAAACCTCAAGGTGTAAGAAAAAAACCATATGTATGAGCATAAATTAGGAGACTGTCAAGAAAAAGAAATTTAATCAACTTTTATGTTCATCACAGCACTACTCACAATAGCAAAGACATGGAATCAACCTAGGTCCCCATAAATGGTGGAATGGATAAAGAAAATGTGGTTCACATACATCATGGAATACTACACAGCCATAAAAAAATGAAATCATGTCCTTTGCAGCAAGCAACATGGAAGCAGCTAAAAGCTGTCATCCTAAGAGAACTAACACAAAAGCAGAAAACCAAATAAAACAAACAATAACCACAAAATTGAAGACCTTGCTCCCAAATAAGGCTCATCACAAGTGGTCAAAGTATCTGATAATCACCACTGGAATAGAAACTTCAAGAGATTGGGTAAACTTTAAAAAAATCAGCACATACACATGGTATGGATAAACCACAAATTATGCCAAGTGAAAGAAGTCACATAAAAAAGAGTACACACTGTATGATTCCATTTCTACCGAATTCCACAAAATGCAAACTAATCTATTGTGACAAAAAATACAGGTAAGAGGTATACCACGCAGGAATGGAGTTTGGAGGAGAGGTTCTACAGAGAGGGATTACAAAGGGGCCCAAGGAAACTCTGGGAGGTGATGGATACACTCATTATATTGAATGAATGTATATACATATATAAAAATATATATACACACAAAATGTATAGATATGTCAAAACTTATCCAATAGTACACTTGATTTTTCAGAGAGACAGGCGTAACAGGAGTGCAGTGACACTAACAGTTCACTGTACACTTGAAACTCCTTGGCTCAAGTGATCCTGCTACCTCAGCCTCTAGAGTAGCTGAGAATACAGGTGTGTGCCATCACACCTCTGGCTAATTTTTTTTTTCATAGAGATAGAGTCTCCCTATATTACTCTGACTAGTCTCAAACTCCTGGCCTCAGACAATTCTCCCACCTTGGCCTCCCAAACTGTTGGGATTACAGATGTGAGCCACCATGTCTGGCCCTAGTAGTACACTTTAAATATGTACAATTTATTTTATGTCAAATATACCTCAGTAAAGCTATTCAGAATATCCATCAATACAATTCAGTATTCTAACAGACAAAAAAAAAATCCACGATTATTTTAATAGATATGAAAAAGTATATGGAAAAAAAATCCATTTCCTGATAAGAACTCTCAGAAAAAAAGAAAAACTAAGAATAATTGGGAATCTCCTCAACCTGATAAAAGGCATCTATGAAAAATCTACAGTTATTATCACACTTATGTGTGAAAGACTGAATGCTCTCCTTTTATTATCAGGAATAAGGCAAGATGCCCGTTTCATCATTCTAACATTGTACTGGCAATCCTTGTTCATTTTCTTTTTTCCAAGAAGAGTCCTATTGCAATATGTATTGGTTGTCCTTGCCAGTAATATAAGAAAAAGATACAGATTGGAAAGAAATAAAATAATCTTCATTTGCCAATGACATTATTGTCAACAGAGGAAATATCAACGAATCTACATAAAGCTAATAGAACTAGCAAAGCAAGTTGAGTAGGGTAGCTAGCAAGAAACAAGGTCAATATACAAAAAACAACTGTATTTCTCTATATTAACAACGAACAATTGGAAATTACATTTTTTAAAAAGAGTATCATTTATAATAAATAGCATAAAACAAGAAATTCTTAAGATAAATCTAACAAAATATGTGCAGGATTTGTATGCTGAAAACTATACAACCTTGATGAGAAAAATCAAAGACCTAGAAAATTGATAAGATATCACACATTAAAAGATTCAATATTGTTAAGATGTTGATTCTCCCCAAATTGATCTACACATTCAAAACAATCCCAGCTGGCAATCTGGTTCTATAATTCACATAAAAAAGCAAAAAAAAAAAAAAAAAACAAACCAGCCAGGCGCGGTGGGTCACACCTACAATCCTAACACTTTGGGAGGCCTAGGCAGGCGGATCACCTGAGGTCAGGAGTCTGAGACCAGCCTGACCAACATGGAGAAACCCCGTCTCTAATAAAAATACAAAATTAGCCATGAGTGGTGGTGCATGCCTGTAATCCCAGCTATTCACAAGGCTGAGGCAGGAGAATCACTTGAACCCAGGAGGCAGAGGTGCAGTGAGCTGAGATTGCACCATTGCACTTCAGCCTGGCAACAGAGTAAAACTCCATCTCAAAAAAAAGAAAAAAAAAAAAAAAAAGCAAATTACCTAGTATAGTTTGAAAAGACTGACCAAAATTTGAGAACTCACACTACTCAGTTACAAGACTTACTATGAAGCTACAGTAATCAAGACAGTGTAGGCTTCAGGGTAAAAACAAGACATATAGATCAATGAAACAGAATATAGTTCAGAAATAAACCCAAACACATACAGCTTAAATCTTTATCTGATTTTTTGAAAATTATTTGTCTAATGTATACCTATTTTAAAAGTAAATGCTATTAAAAATGATGCAATTTAAAACTTTTTGGCCAAGCATGGATGCTCATGCCTGTAATCCCAGCTACTTGGGAGGTTGAGCAGGAGGAATGATCCAGCCCCAGAGTTAGAGGCTGCAGTGAGCTATGATCGGGCCATTGCACTCCAGCCAGGGCACAGAGTGAAACCCTGAAAAATAAAAATAAAAATAAAACTCTTCAAATAAAGTTTGATCTCGTTATTCTACTTGCAGGAATCTATCCTACAGATGTATTTCTGCGAGTAGCGTATACACACAAAACAAAGTTATATACACATGTACTAACATGGAAAGATGTATAAAATACATTAAGTAAATCAAGCAAGTTGCAAACAATTTGCATATGTCTGTGTATGCATAATTACTTTTGGAAAGAATCAGATAATAGTTACTTCTGAGGAGTAAATATAGAGAGGAGTTTGAATTTTTATCTATGAGTGCCCATTATTTTAATAATTTTTAAAATGTTGGCCAGGCGTGGTGGCTCACGCCCGTAATCTCAGCACTTTGGGAGGCCAAGGCAAGTGGATAATGAGGTCAGGAGATTAAGACCATCCTGGCCAACATGGTGAAGCCCTGTCTCTACTAAAAATACAAAAAAAAATTAGCTGGGCATGGTGGTATGTGCCTGTATTCCCAGCTACTCAGAAGGCTGAGGCAGGAGAATCCCTTGAACCTGGAAGGTTAAGGTTGCAGTAAGCCAAGATCGCACCACTGAACCCCAGTCAGGCAACAGAGAGAGACTCTCTCAACAAATAAATAAATAAATAAAAATAAAAATGTTTATAAACCTTTATAACCAGGAAGAAAGTTATAAAAAACCATTTTTTTCTGGCAAAGTCAAACAAATTTCTACAGCATATAATACCATAATACATTTTTTTTAAATTTCAACTTTTATTTTAGATTAGGGGTTACATGTGCAAGTTTGTTACCTGGGTATACTGTGTGATACTGAGGTATGAATGATCCTGTGGCCCAGGTACTAAGCACAGTACCCAACAGTTTTGCAACCCTTCCTCCCTCAATGACTCGCACCTCTAGTAGTCCCCAGTCTCTATTGTTGCCATATTTATGTCCACGAGTACCCAATGTTTAGCTTCCACTTATAAGTAAGAACATGTGGTATCTAGTTTTCTGTTCCTGCATTAATTCACTTAGGATAACGGTCTCCAGCTGCATCCATGTTGCTGCAAAGAGCATGATTTCATTCTTTATTATGGCTGGGCTAAAAATGTTTTAACTCTGTGAGACACTCATGCCTTTGAGACTTTTGCAGGTTTTTGGTCTGCGAGCTTTGAAGAAACATCATTTGCCTACCAAATGAAACATACACTAAATCCTCTATTTTGGACTATATTTAAAATATCATGGCATACATTACTAGTTTTAATTAAAATGAGATTTTAAAGTCTATAGATATACAAAAATGCAAGCTCATATTTAAAGAATTTTCCTTCTACATATTTCAGTAATTATGGACTGGACTAGCTTGTGAGTTTCATGAGGACAGGGTGCATTTTTAATGCAATATATATTGTGTACCCCTGGGTTATAGCCTTATAAAAAGCAAGCTCTCTGTTTTTTTATATAAATGAATACATTAAAGTCAAATCAGATCCTTTATGTGTTTATTTCCAGGCACATAAGGACTTGGTTTTTAAACATACTATAACACCTTGAGAAATTCACTTAAACTGTATTTGCCTCAGAGCTCATCTTTAAAAATAAGAAAGCTAGCCGGACGCGGTGGCTCAAGCCTGTAATCCCAGCACTTTGGGAGGCCGAGGCGGGTGGATCACGAGGTCAAGAGATCGAGACCATCCTGGTCAACACGGTGAAGCCCTGTCTCTACTAAAAATACAAAAAAAAATTAGCTGGGCATGGTGGTATGTGCCTGTAATCCCAGCTACTCAGGAGGCTGAGGCAGGAGAATTGCCTGAACCTAGGAGGCAGAGGTTGCGGTGAGCCGAGATCGCACCATTGCACTCCAGCCTGGGTAACATGAGTGAAACTCCGTCACAAAAAAAAAAAAAAAAAAAAAAAAAAAAAAAAAAAAAAAAAAAAAAAAAAAAAAAAAAAAAAAAAAAAAAAAAAAAAAAAAAAAAAAAAAAAAAAAAAAAGAAAGCTAGATTACACGATATCTTACAGTACTTTCTAGATTTTGCAACTCTGATTTTGTTACTTTATGGTATTACAACATAGGCATTCAAGTCAGGACAGACCTCTATTTGATTCTCAGCTTTTCACTCAGACTAGGTGAGCCATTTAATTTCTGTCTCCATTTCCTTACATATGAGGATAATCCACTTCTTGAGAGGACTGAGATATAATTTTCATAAAGCATAGAGCTGTAACTAATAAATGTTAGTTCTTTCTTGATAGTCTAGGCAATAATACCAAAGTTACAGTAAGAATGAAACTATTCATGTTAAGTGATTAATACATTAGTATTTTGTAATTCATAATTAGTTATATTAAAAATGTAGATGCACCCACTTCTGACAAAGCTGATTAAAAAGAACTTTAGGAGAAAGTGGTCCTTTTTCAGTCTCCTTCATGCTGTGAAGAAACAGGAACAAGGCTGAGGTCAGTGGTCCAGGCCTTGAAAGTTCCACCACTAATGGGTCCTTTAAAAACATGATCAACTCTATGTCAATAACATATTAAAAATCTATGAGTTACACTTTGCTTAAATAACAGCAACTATATTGCCTCAACTGTATTAAGAAACTTTATTATTTCAGAAATGAAATAAAGACATAAAAATGGAAAACAAAAAACCTGCCTTGAAAAACACAGGTATTTTCATACCGTCTGCCCTTTGCTTAATAAAACTATTAGCTTGAATGATATCACCAATCTTTAATTGCTTGTCACTGTCCTTTAATGAACTATCCTATAAGTAAAATCACTAATCTACTTAATATTTGTACAACTCCACAAATAATCATACATTATTTGCTAGTAAATTATACTTATTAGCAAACCTCCACACCTTTCTTTTCCCCAAATATTTTACTAGTAAAATAAGGAATGAGGAATTATGTGACAAAATTAGCATAACATCTCCCTCTTTTAAAGGGGAGAGACATAAAGCTTGACAAAAGCAGCTAACATTGGGGGAAGGATTAACCCACTTAATTCTAGAACTTTTTTCCCCCCTCTAAATCTGGTTTCTAAAATATTATCCCCACCAATAATCCTTTCTCCTAAACGACAAGGAATAGAAAGCAGATCCCAAATATAAACTTGGGACATTAAAAGAATGTTATCTTCCGAGACAACTATTGAATATGTTTTCTTATTTCTATATTGATGAAACACCTCTTACATATGTATTTCATACTAACTATACTTAAAAATCCACCATAATCACAGAAAGGACAGGCTATAATTTTCAACACTATTTTTTTTTTTTTTTAAGAGACAGAGTTTCACTTTGTTGCCCAGGCTGGTCTTGAACTCCCAAGGCTCAACCAATCCTCCTGCCTTGGCCTCCCAAGTAGCTAGGACCACAGGCATGAGCCACCACACCTGGTCAAAATTACAGAGAACTCAAGACAGACCTTTTTTTTTTTGAGACAAAGTCTCATTCTGTCACCCAGACTGGAGTGCAGTGGTGTGATCAGCTCACTGTAACTTCAAACTTCTGGACCCAAGCAATCCTCCTGCCTTCACCTCCTGGGCAGCTGGGACTACAGATGCATGCCACTACACCCAGCTAATTTTAAAAATTTTTGTAGAGATTGGGGTGGTGGGGGGGTCTCATTTTGTTGCCCAGGCTGGTCTTAAACTCCTGGTTTCAAGTGATCCTCCCACCCCAGCCTCCCAAAATGCTAGAGGATTATAGGAATGAGCCATGGTGCTCCGGCTTCCATAGCTTTTGAATATCAAAAGTGCTTTTCTGGGCTGAGTGCCATGACTCACACCTGTAATCTCAACAATTTGAAAGGCCAAGGTGGAAGGATCACTTGAGTCCAGGAGTGCAAGGCCAGCTGGGGCAATACAGGGAGACCCCATCTCTGCAAAAAAATGAAAACTAAAAAATTGGCCAGGTGTAAGTGGCATGTGCCTGTGGTTCCAGCTACTCAGGAGGCTGAAGTGGGAAGATCCCTTAAGCCCAGACTGTAATGAGCCATGATGGCGCCTCTGCACTTCAGCCTGAGTGACAGAATGAGACTCTGTCTCAAAAAAAAAAAAAAAAAAAAAAAAAAAAAAGTGTTTTCTCTTCTGCTGTAAACCTAAAAGTGCTCTAAAAAATAAAGTCTTTTTTTAAGTGTTTTCTGCCAAGTTAACTAAAAGTTACCTCAAAGTCAAAAGTAAAATCTAAGGCGATTTTAAAGTTCAAGTACCAAGTTGTACTTCCCCTATTCCCAATGAAAGCATTTTTTAGAATAAAAAACCTTCAGAATGAAATGAGGAAATAACCTCAGTTTTAAAAAGCACATTAGGGCCAGGTATAGCAGCTCATGCCTGTAATCCCAGCACTTTGGGAGGCCGAGGGAGGGGGATCACTTGAGGTCAGGAGTTCGAGACCAGCCTGGCCAACACGGCAAAACTCCGTCTCTACAAAAAAAAAAAAAAAAAAAAAAAAAAAAAAATTAGCTGGGTGTGGTGGCACACATCTGTCGTCCCATATACTCAGGAGGCTGAGGCAGGAGAATTGTTTGAACATAGGAGGCAGAGGTTGCAGTGAGCTGAGATTGTGCCACTGTACTCCAGTCTGGACAACAGAGTGAGACCCCATCTCAAAAAATAAATAAATAAAATAAAAATAAATACACTTAAACTTTGAAAATAAAAGTTTGCTGAAATCACAAGGATGAATTTCACATATAATGTTGATTTTTTGAAAAGCAAAATGCATAAGAATGCATATAGTAAGATTCCATTTATATGAAGTATTAAAACAGGCAAACTATCCTGTTAGAAACCAGGTTAGTGGTTATTCATGTGGGTTAGGGAAGTAATGAATGGAGGGGAAACTGATGGGGCCTTCCAGATGCTGGTAATGTTACTTGAGCAAGGTGTCAGTTACACAAGTGTGTTAGCCGTGAAAATTCATCAAGCTATACACTCATGACATACATCTTTAAGAATAGTTTCAGGCCAGGTGCGGTGGCCCATACCTGTAATCCCAGAACTCTGGGAAGCCGAAGAGGGCAGATCACAAGGTCAGGAGTTCGAGACCAGCCTGACCAACATGGTGAAACCTGTCTCTACTAAAAAAGAAAAAAAATAAAAATAAAAAAATTAGCTGGGCGTGGTAGTGGGCTAATTCCAGCTACTCAGGTGGCTGAGGCAGGAGAATTGCTTCAACTGGGGAGGCAGAGGTTGCAGTGAGCTGAGATCACACTATTGCACTCCAGCCTGGGCAAAAGAGCAAGACTCTATCTTAAAAACAAACGAAAAAAAAAAAAAAAAAAAAAAAAAAAAAAAAAAAAAAAGCTCAAAAAAAAAAAAAAAAAAAAAAAAAAAAAAAAAAAAACAAAACAACCACAAAAAAACCCCAATATTTTCCTTAAATAAAAAGAATATTTTCATTAAATAAAAAGTTTTCCAAACACATTGTTGATATGCATATAAATATTAAATTAAATCCAGCAGCATATAAGAATAACATATCATAACTAACTGGGATTTCTAACAGGAATACAGGATAGGTTTAACATGTGAAGGAGCAATTGATGTAATTCACCACATTAACAGAATAAAGAAGAAAAAATATATGATCATCTTAATAAACGTGGGAAAAGCACTTGACAAAATTCAACATACATTCTGATAAACTTTCAGAAAACTAGCAGTGGAAGGGAATGTCCTCACTTTATAAAGAACACCTATGAAAATCCTACCTTCATATGCAATAATGGGGGAAGGCTGAATGTTTTTCCCCCTTATTTTGGGATTAAGGCAAGGATGCCTGTTCCCATCATGTCTATTCAACACGTTACTGGAGGTCTGAGCCAGCACAATAAGGTTAAAAAAAAAAAAGGAATATAGACAAAAAACAAAGATAATCTGGTGATTCAAAAGGCAGTAACCTCAAAGAGTAGTCCCACAGCTCAGGTCAACTTTATGCCCTAAAAACGTAAGACCTACGATTGAAAATTACCCTGTGAGAATGATACAAACCTAAAGTTATCAACTACAGTATCTAACTGACATATAGCAATCCTGAGACACAGCTTTGCAAGTCAAGTATTTAAACTCAACATCCAGTTGCATTTAATAGGAAATCACATTTAATAGGTCTTTATAAATGACTAAGCAGTAACTTTCCTTTAGTAGTTTTAAGGATCTCACTATACTTTATTTAGAATAGGACATTGGAATCTACCATTATATATTTAAGGGGCTTAATAAGAAATGTTTACAGGCTGCCTTTCAACACTACACACACACACACGCACATATAGTAAACATATATATATATACACATAAAACAGGAGGCAGCTTTGAAAAATTATATATATATAATTAACATACTGTTACACATATAATACCACTGTCTTTCAAAGCTATTTATAAATAACAGTAATGTCTTTCAAAGCTGCCTACTGGGAAAACAATCTACATTAGGCTAAGCATTTTTAGAGCTCTTTAATTGTTTTCAAAAGTCAGATCATGAGCTACATATATACTCTCTGTTACACACATTCATGCTGATCAATTTCTCACTAAAATTATCCTTACTAGTATCAATACCCCCCCAGCCAAAGTCCATCAGAAACACACCTATCGTTAAACTAGGTGGGTTTATTACTTGTGGCAGTGAGGGAGAACACATAGCACGGGGAACTACAGGTGTCCTAACAAGAGGGCGCTATAAAGAACCTACACAGGATTTAGGCTCTGATTGAGTAATCAGAAGGTGGGTTTCAGGAAGCAGAGGTTTACTCTAGAGTAAATGTCCTCAGAAAGCAGAGGTAATTCTATTATTGGACATCTCAATAAATCTTATATATTGTGGCAGTTGGTAGGGGAGACTAAAATGAGGATAAATCTCTAACTTAGCATTCATTTCTCATTTTGGCTGAGAGAAGGTGTTTGAGATTTTCTAAATGGCAAATGACCTTGTTTTTGTCTGTGTTTAGACAAAATCATGATGTGGCCTTGCTTTGTCTCATTTCATCATAATCCCAGAGAAACCTAGTAAGAGGTTGTTATTCTGTGGGATTATTTGAATAACATGGCCTAATTTTGGGTACCAGGCCAGCTTCTAAATATCTTTTTTTTTTTTTTTTTTTTGTCTTTCTCACTAGCTTAAAAACTTATCATCAGGCTAGGCTTCAAAAAACCTTTTAGATGCTCACTATTAAAATTTCATCTACTATTAAAGAACAAAAATGCTAAATTTAAACAAATGTTACCAGAAACTAAAAAATAGGGGTCCTAGGCATTTTGCTCAATGAAGTCAAACCTCTTCTGTTTCTTCAGTATGCTTATTTTAAAGCTACCTTAATATCTTTGTATTATTTGATCCATGGCATATTGGAACCATAACATATCTTAAAGTTATGATTTTAGAAATTTTAAATCTGATTAATTTCGCAGAATGCTTTTAAATTATTTTTTAATTGCCCTGACTGCTGTCTTAGTTGACAGATCTGTGAATTCGGAAACGAGATTTTGGTAACAACAGCTCATCTGAAAGCATCTATTATTCAAATGGTTATACTTATTACTCACAAGCTGAGAGTCTGAGGAAGGAAAAATCTTGAGTTTTGTACTATTTTCTTTGATCTCATTCATCAAATCAGTAAGAATATAAGTCTGTGCCAAGTTCTAAAAGAAAGCAAAATTAAAGTCTTCAGATTCAGTTACATTATGCCTCTGATTTTATGAAATATGCTCTCAAAGTTTCAAATTTCATCTAGCATAGCAAAAATGTTTATTTCAAAAAACATTAAGATTTAGCTGAGTACATTTTACATTTAGTAAAGATCACTATTACTAATAGAGCCATGGTAAAATACACAGAAAACCTTTCAGAAGCATTGTGCGAAAATAAGGTACATGTAGGCATGGCGATGGCCCAAGATAGCGTAAAACAAAAAGAAAACAAATTTCTAGAGGAATGTTTCACAGTCATTTGACAGTCTACAGGTGAGCCAATGACCATATAAATTAAAAGAATCTTTTACATACTACGAAGCTTTCTGATGACTCTTACCTGCATGACTGCATTAAAAAAGCAAGTATTTCCTAAATTTGTAAGTCCTCTTACAGATGATAAACTTCTACCTTTTCCTTCCTTCTTTATTTCATCTGTTTCACATTTTTCTTCACAAAGTTTCATGATTCTAGAAAATGTACCTACAAGTTAGAGAAAAAATAACTGACACAAGACGTAAAGTTAAATATATGTCATTTAACATAATTTATATATATTATTCAAAATAAAATTTAAATAAGATTGTCTCCCTGAATCAGTGTTCCTGAAGGGGAAGAATACAAACACAACTGTCTTTGGTTTTATACTTTATTGCTAGAGCAATTAATTTAAACTTTAGTATACTGATCGGTACCTCACACTATATTACAGAATAAACTGCAGATGAATTAAAAAACTAAATGGTAAAAGAACAGTCGAGAAACAAGTAGAAAAGATCAAACTTCTAAATACCATTCCCCATGAAAAGGAATAAGGACTTCTAGAGGAAAAGGCTGATTCTAAACCTGGGGCAGCAAAGATGCAAAATGAACCCATAACATTTTGCCATGCCAGAGAATAAGGAAGTGCTCAAAAACTGTGATTGGGAATAATTCAAAATACACAGGGATTTTGACCAGGCTCCCACTAGTTCAATTCAGGATAATCTGACCATTAAAATAAGTGCAGGTATAATAGATTTTTATTCACAGAATGAATCTGAATTGATAACAAATTTTTTAAATTAAAAAAAAAGAAAGAAAAAGTAGGGAAGAGACTTCCTTATAAAAGAATGCCAGCTAACAGAAGAAATGATGGAATTAGGAAAATCACCATCCTATGTGGCAATTTTTGTATTTTTCTTGCAACATTTCTGCAAATTTGAAAACGTTCATATTCAAAGTTTTAAAAAATCAACAGAACCACATTGAAGTACAAAAAGTAAAATATCTAAATGTAAGACACATAAGTGCATGTTTTGTGCTTGCAGATTTATATAATTAATGCAGATCTGAAAATTATATTAGACTGGGCATGGTGGCTCAGGCCTGTAATCCTAGCGCTTTGAGAATCTGAGGCAGGTGGATCACTTGAGGTCAGGAGTTCGAAACCAGACTGGGCAACATGGTGAAACCCCATCTCTACTAAAAATATAAAACTTAGCTGGGAGTAGTGGTGTGCATGCCCAGCTACTCAGGAGGCTGAGGCATGAGAATCGCTTGAACCTGGGAGGCAGAAGTTGCAGTGACCTGAAATCATGCCACTGCACTCCAGTCTAGGTGAGAGCAAGACTCTGTCTCGAAAGAAAAAGAAAAAGAAAAAGAAAAGAAAAAAGAAAAGAAAAGGAAAGGAAAGGAAAAGAAAAGAAAAGAAAGAAAAGAAAGAAGGAAAGAAGGAAGGAAGGAAGGAAGGAAACAGAAAGAAAGAAAGAAAAGAAAGAAAGAAAAGAAAGAAAGGAAAGAAAAGAAAGAAAGAAAGAAAATTATATTATCAGTTCATGTTTAGTAACAATATGAAAACAAAGAACAATTCCTAACATTTACTGACATGGCTGATTATTCTTAGAATCAAAATTTTAGTTTGAAGTTTGACAAGAAATTCCAAAGTTGTGAAATGTTTTAGTTTTAACTAGATGCTCTTTTAAATTCCTTTCAGCCCTCAGATTTTTTTTTTAACAGTGTCTCACTTTGTAGCCCAGGCTAACATGTAGTGGCACAATCTCGGCTTACTGCAACCTCTGCCTCCTAGGTTCAAGTGATTCTTGTGCCTTAGCCTCCCGAGAAGCTGAGATTACAGGCATCCACCACCACACCCGACTAATTTTTGTTTTTTTTTTTTCGTCGAGATGGGGTTCACCATGTTAGACAAGCTGGTCTCAAACTCCTGACCTCAAGTGATCTGCTCACCTCAGGCTCCCAAAGTGCTGGAATTATGGGTGTGAGCCACTGTGCCTGGCCAGCCCTCAGATTTTTATAATTCTTTACAATTCCATGTTTTTTTCACCTAATACTGACATACTGCCTTGCATTACTAATTAACTTTTAAATATATGGCTGATTGATGGAAACAGGGGAATGTCTTATTATTGCTTTTCCTGCCAAAGGGGTAGAGCAATGTTGTTCACAATAAAAATTCAAAACACATAAAATCTGCAAGATTAAATAGCAGAACTAGAAGAAGTTTAGCTTCTTGAGTTCTCAAGAGGAAATAAATTAAGACACCTGCCCCACTTCTGTAAACAGCATTAAAGGAGATGAATCCAAGTCGGGGTAGCTGTGTTCTAAGGAGCAGGAAGTGCTGGGATTACAGGCATGAGCCACCGCGCCCAGCCTAAGATGTTTCTTTCATTAAGCAAATCTACGTCATGGAAAACAGTTTTAAATACTAACAACTTTTATCCTGTGCTGCAATATTTTTTATAAACCCTATTAACTGTTTTCCCCCCTTATTCCTGGTTTGCTTATTCTTTAAATGTTATTGGAATTTGTTGATATTAAGGAGCTGTTTTTAACTTCCAACTCCAGAATCCTGAGTTAAAGCAGAAAAGAACTAGGAAGATAAGTTTCTTCTCCTGTGCTCCAGATACTATAATAAATAAGAAATAAACCCCATACTAGAGCTTGGGGGCAAAGGCCAGCACAATCAATGAAGTGGGTTACTGAAGTACAAACATAAGGCATGGAAAAATAGAAAACAGGGAAGAGGCCAGGCAGTGTTAAAATGAATATAAAAGCAAATGAAAAAAGCCAGTTAGTAGTTAAGAAGCATTACACAAATAAGAGGAACCCTGACATGGATGCTGGCTGGATTTGCAGACAGACAGTCTGCCTCTTGTTTATATCTGAGACTGTAAATAGAACCTAGAATAAGAAGGGTTCAGACTCTCCAGACTCTCATTATTGCTCTTGCCAATAGCTAGTTTCATGGTGATTTTTAAGAGATTTAAGATAAGAGAGTAATTAAATCCAAGCATTACTCAATTTTTCCAGGCTGTTAACTCTGATTTTACATTTACAAAACTCAGTCTCCAACAGGTTAAGTGATTTGCCCAAGGTCACAATGATAATCTTCTGATTATAAGTCCATTGTGATTTTACCACCTAAATTCTCTTCAGTGATTTATGTACAATGGAAGAATTACTAAAAGACAGGTCAAGATTCTTACAGATTTGGGTATATGTAGCCCTAAACAAATATGACTCCTCAAAAGTATCTCCTTAACTTTTTTTTGTTATTGTTTCTTCCAAAACATGAACCAGACTTAACATTCTTAATAAGTGTTGCCATAATATTTTTTAGGTTATTAACATGAAAACAGAATGGGTGAAAGAAATAACCTATAGGTAAAAACTATATATATATTTTATATACTTATAAAATATATATATATATACACATGACTCCCATTGAGCCTGTTTTAAAAAACATTAGAAAATACATATATATACAGACACATAATTCACTTGGGAAAATACTCCCAGAAATTATATTTTAATCTTGCAAAGACACACACATTTTTAAAAACCATAATATGCAAATAATTTATGTATCTGTGGGCCACATTTATCCAACAGTTTTCAAAACATCTGGGATAGCATCTTAAAGTAAACAATGTTCACAAGACCATCTGGACAAAACTGCAGGCAAAATAAAGCATAAACATATGGAAAAACAGATTTTCCCCCTCCCTTCAGCAGTAAGGGATGACAAATGTCAAACCTAGATATATCCACGCTTCACTGTGCGATGCTTTTCAGCACCACCTGGCTCTCCATGCACAGCCACCAAATATGGACAGCACTGCCAGAAAGAACATATCCACAGGGCAATGGCAATAAAAAGTTTATTTCATGGTTAAATAGCCACTTCACACAAGTGGCAAGGAGCTGTTTGTTGACTTTTACATGTAAAAGTGTGAGAAAATATTAAAAATTAACTGTGGCATTAAACAGATAAGATAATTTAACTAGAAAATAGACTAACATTCTTTTTTTCTTTTTTTTTGTAGGGGGGTGAGGGGATGGAGTCTTGCTCTGTCTCCCAGGCTGGGGTGCAGTGGTGCGATCTCGGCTGCACTGCAACCTCCACCTCCCAGGTTCAAGTGATTCTTGTGCCTCAGTCTCCCAAGTAGTTGGAATTATAGGCACATGCCACCATGCCCGGTTAACTTTTTGTATTTTTAGTAGAGATGGGGTTTCACCACGTTGGCCAGGCTGGTCTCAGACTCCTGACCTCAAGTAATCCGCCTGCCTCAGCCTCCCAAAGCGCTGGGATTACAGGAGTGAGACACTGTGCCCAGCCAGCATAACATTCTCTAATAGCTATTTAAGTCTTTTATTTAAAATAAAAGTACAAGTTTTACATTTTACTAAGTAGCACATTTACAAAATGTAACAATTTAAATTGATTTATCAATGCGCTTTAAGTATCAGGCACTATATGAACCATTATAACTGTTTACACCTAATTTATTATTTATAACTGGAGTATAAAGAATTGATACATAGTGAACAGCAGAGACTTTAAATCTTAGTTTTTTTTTTTTTTTTTTTTGAGA